CGTCGCCGAGGCGCTCCACGCGGACCTGCTGGCGCGCGGGGGCGACCTCGGCGGCGCCCTGGCGCTCTACCGGTCGGCCCTGGCCGGCGGCGGCGACGCGGCGGCGCGCTACAACTACGCGCTGCTGCTGCAGCGGAGCGGCGACGGCGCCGGCGCCGTCGCCGAGCTCCGGCGCGTCGTCGCGGCGGAGCCCGACCACGCCGCGGCGCACAACGCCCTCGGCCTCGCGCTGCTCCAGCGCGGCGACGCCGCGGGCGCCGAGCCCCACCTCGCGAAGACGTCGGACCTCGCGCCCGGCGACAGCGAGCGGTCCTACAACGTCGGCGTCTGTCTGCTGAAGCGGGGCGACCTCGGCGGCGCGGAGCGGCGCTTCCGGGCCATCCTCGCGCGCGACCCGGCCCACGAGCTCGCCGCGGCGGCCCTCGCAACCATCGGCCGCGCGCGCGCCGGGAGCCGCGGCGCGGACGGCCCGCCGCCGCCGCTCCCGCCGCGCGCCGCGCCGCGGGACGCGCCGCCGCCGGCCGCGCCGGCCGGCGCCGCGCTGCCCGTCTACGCCTACGCGCGGCTCAAGGCGCCGGGGCCCTACCCCGCGGACGTGCGGGCCGGCGCGCGCGAGCTCCACCTCTCCGACGACGAGTTCGCCGCCGTCTTCGCCGTGTCCAAGGCCGACTTCCTCCGCCAGCCCAAGTGGAAGCAGGACAACAAGAAGAAGCAGCTCGGCCTGTTTTGATTTTAAAGGGGGGTTCGTGTGTGTGTGCGAGGCCGCGTTTGGTTGAATGTGTGCATGCGGCGCTACGACTACGCCTGCCAGCAATTGGTTGAACTCAAGATGAACTGCATCTGCGGCGGCGCGATATCGATCGGGCGCGAGGAGGCTGCGGCCAGCCGCGGATCCTCTGCGCAATGCGGCGCGTGGTGCGGATCCACTTCGCAATGCGGCGCGTGGTGCTCCTACTCTGCGCCGTGCTGCAAGCCAACGGCTTCCATGCCGCGCCGCCGCCGCAGCGGCCCAGCACGCTGCTGCGAGCGTCGCCGCTGTCGTCCATCCCCGTGGGCTCCATCGTGCTCGGCGCGCTCGCCATTGGCTCGGTGGGCGACCTCGTCGTCGAGGTGCCCAAGCTCGGCGGCGAGGGCGCGGACTACATCGGCACGCTGCTCGACGCCGCGTTCCTGGGCTACGCGACGAAGACGCTCGGCGCGCAGTCGGGCCTGCTCGCGGACGCGGCGCCGGCGACGACGGTCGAGGGTTTGGAGCTCTGCGTGTCGCTCAGCGTCGGCCGCGAGGACGGCACGTGGATGCCCAAGGACTGGGCCGCGTCCGGCGCGCGACTCCTGCTGCCGCTCGACGTCCGCTTCGAGGACGAGCGCCTCGACCTCGGCTTCCCGGGCGAGGAGGCGCTCGGCGGGCGGTTCTGCCGGCGGCTGAGCTGCGACGGCGGGTCCTTCGTGGGCCGCGACGGCCGCGTGGAGGTGGCGTGTGCCGGCGGCGGCTGGTCCGCGGCGCCGACGGGCCGCCCCGGGCGAATTCGCGCTTCGCTTCTTCCTCGATTTCCCGTCGGCCGTGGCCCGGAACGACGTCGAGATCCCCGCGGGCCGCGTCTTCCTGAGCAGCGCGGCCTTCTTCGACGCGGACCTCGACAAGGACATGGCGGTCCGCATCCCGCCGGGCGACGTCGTCGAAGCGCCGTCGGGCTGCAAGGTCGTCCGGTCCGGCGGCCTGACCATCAAGCAGAACAGCTGGAAGAACGGTTTTGGCGCCTTCGGCGACGTGAACCTCATCCTCGGCCGCTACAACGCGGACCTGAAGCGGGAGGACGCGTAACACGCCTCGAGCGCCGGTCTATGAGCGCCGCGACCGGTGCCGCCCGGGCGGACCCCCGGCGGACGTCGTCTCTGGCGCCGGTTTCTAAAGTTCATTTTGCACAGTCTGGTGGGCTGCCCGGCGGCATGGCGTCGCTCATGGAGGCCAACGACGCGGGCTTCGGCTGCGACCTGGCGCTCTGGGAGCCCGTGCGCCTGACGGCCGCCGTCGACGGCCTCGCCGTCGGCACGGCGGGCGTCGTCGTCGGCTGGACCGGCGAGGCCTACCGCGTGGCGCCGAGCTGCATCACGGCGCGGGAGCGGCCCGTCGTCGCGCGGCCCGAGGAGCTGGCGCCGCGGGAGCGGCCGCCCATCGCCGGCGCGGAGGCCCTCGCGCGCACGCCCGTCGTCTCCGGCGACAGCGACTTCGGCGCGTGCGCGCTCTGCGAAGCCGACGTCGCGCGAAAGCTCGGCCTCGTGTCGCCGCTCTACACGTGCTGCGGCGGGTCCGTCTGCGCGCCCTGCGCGTCGGCCCTCGGGGACCACGGCATCGGCGACACCTGCCCCCTCTGCGGCGACGCGGCGCACCTCAA